TTCGAAAAGTGAATAAAATCTCGATAAGCATGCACCTTTCGACAACCAGCGTACTTCAGTATGCAAGAGTAGTCGTTGGAAATCTTCATCATTTTCATCGCACAATAGTGCAAATAAACGGGTATTCAAAACATTGCTTCTTATTTTATTAACTGCGTTAATCATAAATTGAGGCGATTGGGGCAATCTATCACTCAAATTTTTCGCTACAAGGTGTTGTCGGTGGATGACACAGTGAATTGCAATTAGTCCTGGTATTATTCTTTTAAGATAGCTTATAAACCCACGATATNATTACTGAATTAGTTCTATAAAATTTCTTTCCAAAGATACAAAAAAAGACACAATAAGTAAAAGCATCATTAAAGGGAGACTGCCCGGTATACATTTGCCCGATACTCCAAACACTGATGTTTCTTCTAATCTATCGTCAGTAAGTATTAAAATATCGAATAAATGTAATTATATCCACGAATAAATTAATATCAAATCGGATGTAATAAATATTTCTGGCATTCACCAAAGCCACTATGTAAATGTCAACATTCACCGATGAAAGTCAACAACCACCGACTTCGCTCATTCACTGTAACATGCACATCATTTACATAATAACCTCAACAGGACGTTTATTTCATACTTTGTCTAAATAGCATCCGGCATTGTATAGAATGCCTAGGCATTCTATACAATGCCTAGGCAAAGTATGCAATACTTCTCGCATGTAATACTTTGCCTAAAAACGTCAGGCATTCTATACAATGCCTAGTCATTCTATACAATGCCGGCGTTTCATACTTTGCCGGTAACATATGCATCACAAATTTTCCATAATTAGCCAGTGGAAATTTACGAAGTTATTAAGAATAATAAAGGCAATTTGTACTAAACACATTTATCAATTCACCCACTTTTATGAATTTATTATTTTTCACCCAAAATAAGAAAATGCTTTTATTTTAGCAACAAAAAAAAAATAATAATACGGAGAAGTTACTTTTTTGCCAGAATCTTATCAAAATAAATGAAGGATAAATAACATTTAACCCAATGCTTTGTAACTTATTTAGAAGTTGACAGAACAAAGAATTTCAGTGTTTTTTATCAAATTTTCATCGGGCGTATAAACAGAGGAATCCTGATAAATTTATATACTTTCTTTATAGAATGGAGGGGGAAATTCTGTTAAATTGATAGATTTTCGCTTATGAGGTTTCTCTTGTTAAACTAAAAGGAAACTTCTTCGAACGAAATATAAGTTTGATTTTATGTTACACAAAGAAAAATTTTGTATAACTATTTTGTTTAACCCGTATTGCAGTGGAATTAAAAAAACAACGCAAGTGCTTCACGGTAGATTTCGAAAAAAGTGGGTTGACAACTAATTTTTTTTTATTGAACTTTAAAATCGAATTTCAAATACTGATGAAACGAAATTTGTTTTTGAGAAACATTTTTTTTATCAATAGACAGATTTTTATACAAAAACGCCAAATGTATAAAAATCTCAATTTTGAATTTTATGTCGCTTACACGTTAGTTAGTTATATGTTAGTTTTTCTATGACACGGCAGTGTATAACCTTAGTAAAATCCTACATATAATACTAAAAAACACTTAATAATTTGTGTAAATGAATAAAAATTATTGCAATAAACTTTGTTTATTAAATGAACTTCTTCATAATAACACAATTATATTTGATGAGAACTATAAATTCTCAAATCAAATTAAAAGTGTGTTATTAATTTTGAATTTAGGTACATAATTGCAGAATAAACACACTTGATTGTGTTAGAAATATGAAATTTTAGGAATGTTTTACCTGATCATTACTTGCAATACAATAAAGTAAACTGAAATTAAAGAATCAATTATACATCATTTTAAAAAATCCTCCTTTAACGTACGTAACGGGAGGTTCTCGTGGTCTTCCTCTCCATGTAATGCGGTTAGTTCCATCAAAAAGTTCTCCACGAAGGCAAATTTCTCCCAATACTTGATCCACGAGTTCCCTTGTCTTCTGGATTGGGTTCAAAATTACAAGGATACGGAGTTGAACATTAGTAGTCGTAAACCAAAAAATTAGATCGGCTGTTCAACGACGGTTATAAAATATTAAATAAAACAAAATATGGCAATCACCAACATCACACAGCATCTGTAACAATAAAAGATAAACATGAGTTAAATTTTAGAAACAATATAGATATTTTCAGAATTAATTAAAATTATCAAAAAGGTATATTTTAATCATTTGAGTGACCCACCACACCTAATTTGTATATAACTTAATTACACCCTTGCTAAGGAAAGACAAAACGTAAAAAGAAATCATTGGAGTTTTAAAATATCGTTACAGCCCAAATTTCTCAGAAATTGTGGAAAGTTTTTCTATATTGAACTCTAGATTTTATTACACCTTTCTAAAATATTGAAACCTAATAAGCCAGTTGCCAAAAGATTGATTGGTGAGTTTGGTATATTGTAAATTATTAGTAGTGGGTAGTTAAAATTAACGCCACAATTTATGCTGCTTCTTCATTTAGTTATTATTTTAAATATAGGATAGATAATTTAGTCAATAGTCAAAATGCGCCAATACGGTTAAAGTTTTAGGTACAAAAAATTTCTTCAAAAATTGAAATATTTTAAAGTAAAGATAGCGGTCGCATTCCAAATAACAATATAAAATGTAGTTCAAAGTCACAAACTCCAAGACAAATTTTCAAAATTATAGGAGTTACTAGCAAAAAGAAATTAATGGAAGCGTTGATTAGTTGCATATAGACAGTGTAAGATGGTTCAAACCAGTGTCATATAGTAAGCATTGTAATAATAGTAATAAATTTTAATATATTTAATATAATATATTTAATATATAATATTTTATTATATTTAATATATAATATTTTATTATATTTAATATATATTATTTATTATAATATGGACAAAATACGAAATATTTATATTGAATCAGAGTCCATCAAATTGATAACGAATTAATTTGAGTAGATTTAAGCTGATTTTCAATTATTAATAATTGCTCAATATTCTGTAGTTATATGCTCTAATATACAATATAAAGTTGCCAGGTCTGTAATTGTTTTATTCAAAAAATAAAGTTAGTTTTTAGAGAAGAAAAAAAGCTTATAACAGGAAGAAATGACCCTTTCAATGCATAATATATCTATTTTTTTATATTTCAATCATTCAATTAGTTCTTCCACATTTTAACAAAAACATTTCTTACCTACTAATAACAATACCCCTAATTGTATTTTCTTCATCGTTTATCAAGAATGCTTGTAAATTGCCATAATCATTTTCATCATTATTATCAGTATCTTCTTCTGCAAAAACATTGATACACGAAAGTCGTTTACAATTTTTCCTAATTGTAGAGAATTTCATATCCAATTTTTGGAAGCTGCAAGTGGCTCTACTACCTTTGTTACATTTACAAAATATAATCATTAAATGTGACTAGGAAGCAGGTTTTTTGCTTGTAAAAATAAAGGATAGTATTCTACATTTGTTATTTTCCAGCCCCAATTCTTTCCGAAAGATTCTAATCCTAGGTAGTCGTGATCTAGATGAAATATTGGTAATCATAAGCAAAAATGGCAGTTTCATGCAAAAAGCAGTCACATGTGTATTCATTCACAATCTGAAAATTCCTTTTTAACTATCAATCATAATTAATTTGTTTCCTTTCTCTTCTGTTTTGGAGGGTTTATTTTCAAATCATAACCTGTGGAAATCACATGATATTGTTAGCTACTTTTAAAGTCTCGTCTCTTAGATCGCATTATTTGAAATGGTATTTTATAAAAATAATTAACAAACAATTTAAAAATCATGTGTTTTATTACCAATCATTCTAGCAGTTTCCTCTTTCTTTTTCATGCATTGTCAAAAGGAGTTCAGTACTTCATTTTTATATAAAAATATTAACCATATTTTTGTACACGCATTTCATGTTATAACAACTCTTTGGATGTTTAGGTATTTAAATTGAACTTTCACTATTATTAATGTAACACAATCCGACTGGTAGTTTTATTATTAAAGATCATTTTTTAATGATAATTTGTCGTCGCCTTATTTTCGTTCGAAATAACTATTTAACGTGGTTGAATAACACATAAGTAATAAGGATTATCTCAAAGATCTTAAAGAAGTTGCCATTGATAGAAAAATAGAGCCAAAAATAATTTCTACCTATCAAGAACACCATTATTTTTAGTGAGGACAAAACAAACTTTAAAAAAAAAAAAAAAAAAAAAAAAAAAAAAAAAACAATTTCACGATTCTTGACCAACGCGACCTACAGCAAAAAAAAGGGGGGGCTGAGAATAGTAAAATCGTATACAGTATTTTATTAGTGAAAAAAAGGTCGTCTAAGAATCAAGAAAGTAGCCATTTTTCAAACAATAATATTACCAAAATGTTTTTTTACTTCATTCAACATTAATTTTGGCAAGCAATGAAATTTTTTTGAAAGTTGACAATTTAGGTAACATTTCACTATGGGTCACTTATGCATATTAGATGCACATAACATATTACGAACAAAACATATTACATTGGTACTCATTTAATGTAAGAGCATTGCTTGTGAAACGTCTTCAAAAAAAAACTATTTTGAGTTGCGTTTTTTGACCTAGGAGACGACGCTCACTTCCCCAGAGGAGAAAAACTTAGTTAATCCATACTGAGACATAACCAAAAGAATTTCTTAAAATAAATAATAATAAAAACTTCGACGGAATTTTTTTTTCTTCTCGAATCTTATTTTTGCTCCTTAACTACTGGATTTCTATATTTTTGCAAGTATCACAATTCAAACCTATTTTCAACGGTTTAATTTCTTTTTATGATACAAACCAGATTTTAAATGCTTACTGCGTTTTTGTTACATTTTAAGAGTTTATTTCTATTGATAATCTAATTGCTCTTAGTATAGTTATATATTATGAATCTCTTTAATATTTTAGATACAGCTTTAAATGGTAACAAACCAGAAGAGCAAGATGTTCCAGAAGTGAAAAATATGCGCTACTGGGCCAATAAAAGTAAGAAATATTATATGTTCACACTAAAAAATTTACTTAAATTAAGAAAAAATTCTTTGTAATCAATGCCTGATTAATCATAAGGCCTGAGAGGCCTAGGGCTCCATCTTTTCTGTGGACCCTCTGACTGTTACAAATATATTCTATTTATGTTTTTCTGAAGAATTTGTCTATTAGAAATATAAGTTAACAAAAATTTAAATAAGTATAAATTTAAATTTATTAATATATCGCAATTTACTCGTGTTGTAAATAATTTAAAAACACTTTATAATTGAACAAAATGCAAATTTGGTTTAAAGTAACAATCAGGGGGCTCCCTATAGTTTTGCTCCTAGGACCCCGGATTTTCTAGATCAGGTCCTGTTTGTAATATTCTTGGTCAATCATTTCAAAGAGTATCCTTAAACACAGTCATAAAACTTTAACCGTTAAATCTGACCTCATAAATCATTTAAAGAGAATATTTTTTAAACCATGGTTATATGCTTCGCTACGCAACTATGGTCTAAAGTTTATAAACAAAACTTCAATATATACAGGTTGTATGTCATCGACAGTTTTCATAAATTTATAATTCTCATAAATAAATCATAAATTATGCATATATTTATCCTCTCTATGCTTCTGTTTCAAATATTTTCCAATAGATTGAGATGCAGATAAGAAAACTTATAAATTAACGAAAAAATGATTAAAAAAATCACATCAGTTATTCGAAGTCTTTAAATAAATGAAAATCAAATTACAATATTTTTAAAATGTTAAGCATCAGCCGAAATCACATGACGTAATTGGAGGATGAACTAACATTTGCATAGTAAAACACAATACATGAGACTTGCAGTGTCCTGAGTCGGAATTTATGACATAAAACCAGAAACTCTGGAAAGAAACTAATGAAATTTTCTGTGCTATCCAGTAAATGCTTTTAACAATTTCTTGTAACTTAAAATAGAAGTTTCTCATTTTATTAGTGGAGGTAAATTATCGTACAATTTAAATCCTATACATAAAAAATTTAAGCAGAATTTCTTTATGAGCAAAAGGAATACAAAGACACAATTAATTTATCTAAGACTGTATTATACTCCTGTTTCATGAATTAAAGAAAAAATTTTAAAATAAATTTAAATTTTATAAACAAATAGATGATTTAATGGAAAAATTTTAAGACAGCGATAATTTTTAACTGAGATTGAAAAATTGCTATATGAAAACATTTATAAATTTGTTTCGGATTTTGATTAAACAGCTAATATTATTGTTGTAATCTCCGCCCCATACAGAGATTCCATAGCTAACTATTGTGTTTGCTCATGCACTATATGTGTTTCGTAAAACATTTGAACTCACAATTTTTCTTGATAAAATTCAGTTAAAATAAATCTTTATATGTTCCTCAAATAACTAATGTGAGACTTTCATTTTAGGTTATGGTCGACCAGGGCCCGCGCTAAGGATTTCAAATTATTAGCCAATAAATTAGCCACATATCAAAAGTATTCGCCAATTTTCGAAAGTCTTTGCCAAATGCAAATCTTATATTTTTATGTTTATGATCTTATCGAATATTTTTATGATCTCTTTATTTTTATGATCAATTCCCCCCCCCCCTGAAAACTATTTTACGGTAGTTTGTTTCAGGCTTATATTACTTGGATTCAAATCTAATTGGACATGCGGCGCATCTACCGAAAATTACTGCAATGGAATAAAAAATACTGATTTGTTTAGAAAAATTCATTTTGACGTAATTTTGAGGATCGAGTTAAATATATATTTTTCTTTCCAGCAGAAAAAAATTATTCGCCAATACTTTCCCCAAAACACAATTTTAATCGCTAAATTTACGATTTTACAGATAGGTGACGAATGCTTAGCGTGGGCCCTGGTCAACAGTGAAGCTTATACATTTTATAGACAAAACCGATTCTAATGAAATGCAATCACAAGCTGTGACAGAGAAATTATTTGAATGAAAAATGATTGAAATATTATTTTTAGATTGGTTAACTGGATGAAAGTCAATAAATTTGGTTTTTTAGCATTAACTGCAAGATTATTGGAGATAAATCTTTTTCCAATCTTGTGTAATTCTTCATTTATAATTTTTCGCAAGAATTTTTTAAAACTTCGGCCAGACACCCTCACATTTTAAAAAGAATCCCTTAGATGCCAGATCAAACGGATAAACGGCACCAAATAAATAAATAAATTTTATGATTATATTTTATGAGGTCGAAATGTTATTGAATTTAAAAACGTACATAAGAATTTATAAAATAAATTACTGCTTCTTAAAAAGTGTTTACCTACCCCAATCGCTGTACATAAGAAAATAATTAACACATACACGTTGAAATTAGTGAGTGTAACATCATTTTAAAATAACATGTCGAAGATCGTGCACTTACTGATAATACCTTAATAATAAGAATGTTGATGTAGATTCGTTGTTAATATCATTATTGAAACAGAATAATGATAGGTACATTCTTAATTGATTCGGAAAAGATGTTCAGCCAAGTAAAAGTTTCCCTCATGCATGAATTTGTATATTTAAGATTAACATGCATAGCAGGACTTTAAAAATCTTCAAGCCCTGGTACACACAAATAATAAATAAAATATTATCTCTAATGAAAAGGATAATTAATGATAAAATAAAGAAATCAAAAATATCCTTTTTTTATCACTATTGAGTCTGATTTTTCTTTTAAAATAGTGACTGTTCTTCAATCATTATTATGTATAAAATATATTTATAAATGTAAAAATATTATTAATTAAAATTGCTTTTAAAAGTTTCGCTGCTCTAAATTTTTTCTCTCTCTAATAGTCTATCAATTGAATTAATTATTATTATGTTATGAATATTAATGAAATTATTTTAAGCATTTCTTTTTATTAATTTTCTTTCAGTCAGCCACGTTTTTAAAAAGGTAAGACATCCCAAGAAGAGGAGAAGGAGCAGTTTTGGGTCCCTCTTTTCTTCAATAGGTAAGATAGGTCTTGTAATAAATAGCTTATTCAAAATTTTTGAGGAACTACTTTTAGCCCCTATTAATTGCCACGTTACAATGGTTACTAACTGAAAGCAAAACAAAAATAAGGAAAAAAAGAATGTTAAAGTATCAATAAGAAAGAAAGATGTTGAGACGGTTAATTCATTTGTAGATATCCTCTCCGACCCAAAAGATAACTATTGTACTACTCAAGACAGTCCCCCCCCCCCAGAACACACCTGCTATTAATGTGATGGTCAGTCGCAGAAAGGGAGGAAGAACTCAGAGAAAGTTTGGGGATTACACAATGAGATTGGCATTGGCGTATTTTAGTACCTTGAAGACTAGAAACTCACCAATTCTCTCAAAAGAAGTTGCATACTAGTATATTAGAAGTATTTTAAATTAAGCTATGCACTAGGTATTTTTCATGTTATTACTGAAATTAACTTTTTATGGACTTCGTTTTAAAGGAATGTATCGCCGTAATTCAGTATTTTTTTGTGTTCTGAAAGTATTAATACAAAAAAGTCACTAAAATTGAATTGAAATGGAAAAAATGTGAGAGAAGTTAAGAATGTTTTTTTTTTTTCTGTGGTGGTAGCATATACACACATACTTATTTGTGAGAATTAAACTTTTATCAATCTGAATTTTTGAAGCATTCATTCAACTACAAATAAAATAGTAACGAAAAATTAAAA